TACAGGCAGAACTCAGAGGAAATAGCGGAGAAGGACATGCAAAGGACTGCTCTCTACCTGTCTGAGCGCACTGGGAGCAGAACTTGAGGTGGGAGGAATCGGAGAGTGTCGAAAAAGTTGATGGTGCTCACTAAGAATAACCAGAAATATTAGCGTTTTCTGAGTTGCTCAGAAAACATATTTTCATGAGAGCTGGCCAGGAAAGCTTTGGAGAAACAGTTCCTCATCTAAAGTGCCACTTGGTAGGAATCAGTTTGCAGCTGCTCAGCTGGAGTGGTGGATAGCTGAGGCCATGTGAGAGGTCAGAGAGAGGACCTGTCTCCCAATGCCGTAATCTAGTATTTAGAGCATTTCTATGTCACCTTTTGCCCTGCTCCATGCCTTGCAACCACAGTTATAGCCTTCAAAGATGCAAACTAGCTATGCAAAAACTGTTACTGAGAGGTTTTCTAGGGTCCTCAGTGGAGTTCCCAGTTACAAATGAGGGAATAAAATTATTGTGAAATGTTTCATTTGGGGTGCAGGCAACTGACAATAGGAAAAAGGAGAAAACCAAAGAGAGAAACAGGCAGATGAGTGCTCACTCATACAAAATTGCCAGCAACACACTAGTTAGGTCGGTCACCTTGATAAAAGGCAGAAAAAGGCCTGAACATGAATTTGAGTTTGTTTTTTTTTTCCCCCCCATTATGAGAAACTGCAGACATGCTCCAGATCAGAAACAGGGAAAATATTTGAAACTGTGAAAACTTTTGATCAGTGGGAAAAGCATTTTCTAATACACTCTGATTTGAGCTTAAAACTATTTTTGACCTAGTGAGTAAGCCTTTATAACAGTGTTTTTCCTGATCCTCTGTTCTCCCTTAAACTGCCACTCTGATCTTCTGTTAAACCTCCTAGTTATAAACTAAATTAGTCTCTATATTTTTTCAGGGCATACATTGTCTTTCAGTGGAGTTAGCCAGTGCTCAGCACAATGGGATTTCTGTTTTGATTTGGGAGAGGTGTTCAGTGTTTGCACACAGTTGGGTCTTTATTGATCCTGTGAGGGTTTGTAGCTCTTCCAAATTTTGTCCATGATTTCTTTAGTGTTGGGATAATTTTTGGTTTACCAGTGATCCAAAAATAGGATAAAAATCTCATGCAAGCTCAGATCAGTTTAATCAAAAATTAATCCCTCTGAGTACAATGAAACATTTCACTTGATCAGTGTCACACGATGTATTTTGCTTTTGTTGAAATTTAATGCTAGATTTAATTTGAAATATTTGATCTATAATGCAGGCAATTGAAAGAAAAATTATTAATAAAGGATATTTCCCAACACCAACAAAGACAAATTGAAATACTTTAAATGCAAAATTTCACTTCCTGACATTTTTAAAGAATTGTTGGTTTTATATATATATTTTAAAAGATAAACTCAGAGAAACTGATACAAACTCAGGAAAACTTTCTGTGCCACAGAATCTGCACATTTATTCCTTTTCTTGCCAGAAAGTTAGCAAATTATCCCAAATTATTGAGAAAGTCACAGTTAACTGTGACTATGCTCCTTTGCCTGGTTCTGCCATGCCTGAGGTCTCTCCATGAGTCCAGCAGGGAGTCAAAAATGAAGCGCTGGCAACAAAATCCGAATCCCAGTAAAGGGATGTCTAAGGACCACGATTTTGTTTCAGGTAAGGGTCATTTTACTGAATGGTATCAGTGTGCTTGGGGTCAGCAAGAGAATCTCACAGGCTAACGCTTCTGTAAACCCCAACAGTTGCAGCCAGGGGTACAGCGTATTACAGGCTTCAAACAACTTGACATGAGCTGCTAAGAGCAATGCTTATGTCAAAGAATTTGAAACGAGGTTTTCATCTCCCATTCTAGCATTACCAGGGAGTACTTAAAAACTCAGTGGCGGAGGCGCCCTCGGGCCCAGGCCTGGCTACGTGGGGCAGCACCGAGCTTGCCAGGCTGCGTGGCCTGAGCCGGCAAGGGAAGGGCTCGAGCTGAGCCAGCCTCCTCCCTGCCTTTAAGTGTCCCCCCTCAAGGAGTCATTTGGCTCATCCTGGTCTGGAGCACAAGTGAGACCCAGCATGGCGATGGGGGGGTGAGTGGGGAATTTGTTAATTCCTCAGTTAAGTCCTGAACTATCATGGCAGTGCAGATACAATATTAGAAGTATATGACATGTAGGCACCCATCTACCTACTTGTGCAGTAACATTAATTTGTGTACGTGTGTGTGTGTGTGTGTGTGTTTGATCTCTTCTCAACCTGGTGATAAGGTTTCCTTCGTTTTCCAGGGTGGAGGGAAAGTGGAGCTCAGGTGGCAAGGGCTTCAGAGAACAGAACTAACAATCCCAACACCTACCACACAAAAACAAATCCTTCCTAGTCCAGGGACAGCTGCAAAACTTCACATGAGTCTCCAGTGACTGTCAGGACAACCGGAACAACCTCTGCTAATTCAAGTGGAAGGAGTTAATGTAAGCAGGTGTGTTGGGAAAGGATTGCTAAACAAAGAGCAAAGACAGTTGCACCACCTTCCATGGGCTTACAATGCCTGTGGTTTCCTCCATGAATGTACCTTCAGCCCAGCTGAAAGCTTTGCTATGCTTAGACAGTTGTGGGCATTTATTTTTTTAATTTTTCTCTGCTATTATTATGACTCTCTAGGTGAAGTTATTTCTCCTCGTCAAGGTTAAAAGGATAGAAGCTGCTGAGGCAACACTAAGCCCAATGTTTAATCAAAGGCTTGGAAAGTGCAGGCGATGCAGAAGATGGCTGCTGCACAGGTCCTTTAGTCCATTAGTGAGTCAGCTCTAGCTAGGTAGGGATGCTTTTGCTCTCTGTTCGTTGGTTTGTTTGTTTTCAATGAGTAATATCTACTAATGAGGATCAAAGTCTTGCAGGTTTTTGGTATGTGAGAGAGGCCTCTGCCCTTTGCAGTAGCCACTGCGATCAACTGCCTGCAGGATTATAAACGTGAGTTTGCAGGGAGTTTAGAGAACAAGGATGGCTATGAGTGCTCAGAGGAAGGACTGTGGTCAAAAACCAGGGGAGTAGTTTGCAGCTGTCATACTGTGTTTCCGCTAGGATAAAACAGCTGCAGAACTGCAGCTCTGCTTCCCAGGCAGCTCTGCTGGCATCAAGAAGTCCTGGGTGGGTATACTTAGCGTAGGCAGCTGTACACAGATACTCAAGCATGAAGGGGTAGGAAGGTAGATGTCTTTCAACTCCCCAGGTCACTCCTTGCTGTCCGTAGGACCCCATGTACCACCTCCAGACAGAGAGGCCCCTTCTGGAAACAGAGCTGGTGGCTGCGAGCTCTGATAGAGGGATGTCATCGGGTTGTTATTTCCCCTACTCCTGGGCCATACTAAGCATGAGGAAAAGGATGCAGTTAGCCTTTGTGTTCAGAACCAGGAGCCCTGGCCCCAGCTTGCACTTCTTTCCGCCTTCGCGTCTTCATTCTCCTGGTTAACGCATTGCCAGCTTCATCTTGTGGCTGTAGCAGCTTTCTAAGTGGGTTTCTTCAATGCAGCATATCCAGTCTTTGCTTCTCATGGTTTGGGAAGCACGGGTGTGATCAGGGCTCCCTCCAAAAGGTGACGGAGCTGAGCTCCAGGGCTTTGCACATCAGAAGGAGAGGGTTAAGCAGGACCTCAGACTCAGTGGAAATGGTAACTGTTTGCGTTTCAGTTGGGGAAGCCAAAGACCAGCAATTTTTTGCTTTGCTTCCTTAATGAATTGTATAAGTTGGTGTGGGGTGCAAAGTTGTATAAGTAAAATTGTATAAGTTGGTGTGTGGTGTGATCTGCAGGGAGCAAAAAAGTGAGATGATTACAAATTGTTATTACATCCTGTTGGTGTTTTCTCCCTGGCTCTTGCTGAGTTCCCAAGATAATGCTGGAGCTTCCCATACTGGTCATGGGCCTGTCAAGGGCAAAACCACACAGCTCCCCTCTACTGTGCTGAGAGCTAATCCAACCGGTTAATTAGAGAGTCCATTGGACTGTCAGAAACAGCATGAGATACAGAAGCAATTATCTCCAAACTGGTCATCATCACAGTTAAAGTACCATTTGGCAAGTATGTGAATAGCCTGCAGCAGTGTCCCTTCATAGGTCCCTTTTCTTTACTGGGCTTTATTGCTGGGTGATGGTGTTCCTGCTTGGAGTAAAGCTGTCAAGTGAATCGACAGCAACGCTCCTCTCCCAGGTCTGGGAGAAGTCAAATGGAGAGGGGTAGACAGAATGGGATGCTATTTGTAATCGAGCTGGGTAGCCTAAAATGCCAGTGTATACAAATCCCATTGAAGAAACCCATTGTAGGCAGGACAGCTGAACAACTAATTTGCTGCAGATAATTTGTTTAATGCGTTTAAGCCTTTTTTTTTTCAGCTCACAGATTATGACTTCCTCAGATGCAGCCCTTTACTCAAACTTACTTGACAAATATCTCTGAAAACATTTAGCTATCATGCTCAGAGTCCAAGGGCTGTTTTCTGCTTGCGGTTGGTAAGACAAATCCTGCAGAGCTCGGCTTCTCAGCGGGGTGTGAGCTGAAGCCCACTAGGTGTGCGCTGGTGCGCGTGAGGTAAAACTCACTTTCAGCGGCAGCTGTGCCTTCTCTTTGGAACTTGTTTCCTGTAGATACTAATGCCTGAAAAATTAATTTCATTTTCAGAGAGCAGATCAGTTAAGGACAGTGGTGTGAAAAAAGCAGGACTTTTATAATCCTGTTCTTTACCTGACACTGAACTGGTGCCATGTAACTGACAGCTAGGTTGAAACTGTTGTTTGAAGGGAGAAACTACAGACCACGAAAACAAATCCCTGCAACACCAAATCCCACCAGTGGAGGACTCCTTTAACGGTTTCCTGGCGGTCTTAATAAGACTCTTGGAAATCATGTGCCCGTGCATGCCCATCGCACCCTCAGTGCAGGTTTCACACCCCACATATGTATGCTCTTTCCTCCTCTCCTATCAGTCCTCTTTCCCCACAGGTAAACAGCTGGAAGTGCTGTGCTAACTGCTAAGAGGCTTCAGACAAATGCTTTCTGCCACGAGAGATTTGGGGACATCTTCTGGACTTCTCTTTAGCTTACATGTGTCTTTGTAACAAATGCACCACCTGCTAAATTGCTGATCTTGTACAACTGTTCTCTGATTACTACAAAAGAAGAAGAAAGGTCTGACTGGATGTCCTCTATGAAATCAGCTTTCAGTGCCTGTTTGTTCTGCCTCTGAGCAAGCCGTGAGTTGCTCTGAAATATGTCTGCCTTGTTCTCTGAGCAAGGGGTCTTTGGGATTTCATCCTCTGTATTGCCATTTGTAGCAGGGAAACTGTCTTGCTATAGGTTTCCTTGGTGGATCACCTCACAAAAAGTGCCATGTCTCACTTGGTATATAAAATTTAAATTACCATATGATTTGTATGCTTCATGGTCATCTACTCAGAGTGTCTGTTCAGTGTTGGATGCAAAATGTCTTTTATTGTTTTTTATATCAAGTCTGTATCTTGCTGGTAGAACTAGTGTGCATTTTTAGATGTTAGTTTATGATCAGTATAGTTTTAGTTTTATGATCATTATTGAAAGTGATAAGAGTGCTGAGGTAAGATGTTTCAATGGATGTATCTGTACATAGTGACCTGAATTAAGATGACCAAGCCTGACAATGTTGAGAAACAGTGCCTAGCATGTCGGAAAGCAAATTTCCCCAGGAATATTCACCAAGATAAATGCAGATGGGCAGTGCAGTTTATATGCTAGCTTTCATTTTGAGTCCATAATCTACTGGAACTAACAGATATATCATGTGTAGGTTATTCAGATCATCTGCTTCAGACATACCAGTTGTATTGTAATAAGTACCTTACTGAAGGATCCCAAGTGCCAAGCATACTCAGTGGGGAGAGATATGAATCTAGTTAAAACCCTAGCAAAATAATGTCAAAGTATCAATCTTTAAATATGTATACATATAGGATTTCCTGACTTTTTTTTCTAATGATTATACAAATATATCCTAAAGTTCAAGCTACTACTCTCCCCTCTGCTAACAGCAGGAGAACTGATTCATTCTTTCATTTAGGGTTTTTTTTTAAATCTTTATTGGGATGCAGCTATTTCAGGTATGTTTTGGATTTTTGATACGAAGGGAAACAATATAGCTAAGTCAGTATAAAACTCCGGAAAGGAAAGTCTTAACATAGACCTTATTTTCTGACATGATTTCTCTGAGATGTGTTTGGACTAGGGAAAAATATGTTTTTCCAGTTACTTTTGCAGCTTTCTACTTCTGGACCTGCTCAGAGGATGGTTCAGTTTTAGTGTAAATGAAATGGACAGCAAAGGCAGGGTACTTAGCTTGCAGGGATTTTGCAAGCAAGGTTGATTAGACGCAAAATGCTGGAAAGATGTGCAAAATAGTTTGACTCCAGTTAGCTGGAATTTTGCCCGTCACCTTAGATCTGCTTATTCCTACTAAGCATTGCACATCACTCTGTAGCACAGCAACAGAGCTGCATGTTATCAGCAAACTAAATCAACAGTTATCTTCAGAAAGCCATACTGAGATGGCAGCAGGAAATGAGTTGGTAGATGAGGCACAGGATAAGAGAGAATGTGGAGTTCATTATAGCTTTTCAATTTACGACCCAAAACCAGGAAAAAATATCAAAATATCAAAAAGGTATATACATGCCATGGTATCTCCACAGGACATTAAACCTGGAGCGCACTGATCTGAGAAGACATATAAGAACTGGCACTACTCCCAGCTTTAACATAGACAGTGACTACTTTTTTAGTAAGTGGAAACATCCTGAAATGTTGGTCTTGGTCACAGGATAATCAGCATTCATTTTGCAAGCTGGTGTCAAGTGATTCTCTAAATGCTTGCATTGCAGACATTAACTGAAGCGTCTTCCGCTTAGTCCACCTGCAGATGACCAGTGTTTCTTAGTTCATTCATCTGGTTTCCTGTTGTTACCATCTGCACCCAAGATAAATGAAAAACAACAGGTTCTTGTTTTTCAGGGAGTGTCTTGAATGAATCAAATTGAATATTTGTTTTCCTGTCACGGAGCAAACTAGGGATTCACATTTTGATAATGTAGAATGTGGATATTTGGAACGTTCTTAAGACGTACTTCTGGGTTTTCAAGAACTCACTTTAGATAAGCCTGTCCTTTTAACTGGCACTAATTAATCTTTATTCATGTTTTTCCACTGCCAGGTACACTGTTTTACATAATGGGCATAATCAGGAACATGAGAAGCTTCCCATCCACAATGACCCAGAATCCCAAGAGTCCTGTTTCTAGTCAAGATCCTAGAAGAGGAATGGCCCAGCTGAAGGAACAGATTCCTTTCAGGATCCCCAAAGGATTCTTGGACAGCAGGACTTTACTGAAACTCATTCATCTGCATTTTCATGGTGGCTCCCGCACTGACTTCACATGAACAGCCAGCCCCATGCATGTGTAGATCAATGGGAGCACAGGAAGGTACATGGTGAGCAGAATGGCTGAGGAGACACTTCTGTATCTGCAAAGATGTCTGGACTACATTACTTCCTCAGAGTTTTACTATTGGTACTCACCAGGAGTGAGCAGATTTTGGTCAACATAAAGAAACAACACAGATACAAGTCACCACAGGGACTCCTGTTACTTCTTTCCAGCTGCTGTCTTTGTACAAGCCACCTCTTTGTCTTGTGACACCAGTATCACGACCTTAAAGATTTCAAGTCCTAGCTTGAAGCCCTAACATCAAACAAGAATAAACGCCTGCTTTATCTGCTCAAGGTCCTACTCACCTGTGACTGGATGTTATCAGGAGAGAAACAGCACTACATTTAGATAATTAAGAGGAAATATTTGCCTTTTTGATTATCATTACTGGTAAAAGGTTAGCATGAGCCACTGACTCATCCTAACCTGCACAGCTTTCTTTGTAAATGCTTTTATTGTGTTTCCTGACCAAGTTCACTGGTGAAAGTTCATTGGCCTGAAGAACTGAAGTGTGGGCTACAGAGACATTTCACAGCTAACAGAGACTGCAAGGCCCAGCAAGTGCTGCTTCAACTCCAGCCCAATTGCTAGAAGACAGTGGCCATCCTCTGCCAATTGCAAGCCAGTGGACTAGATACAGCCCTCAAACTCCAGGCAACCTGCCAGTGGAGTCCTCATCTGATGAAACTTTGGGCATTCTTATTGAGAAGAAAGGTTGGTCAAGAGACAGAGTCAGTCTGTAATAGTTCACTAAGTGCCATCTTGAAAAATATATCATCTAAAAAGCTTTTCTAGCTACATTAGGAAGATGGACTCCTCTGTATGTTTTCCATCTTTATTTTTATAATTGTTTCTCTTCCAGCTCTGAGGCAAGAAGTTTCAAAACTTTCAAATGTCACTGTATGCACCTGATTGTAAAAATCTCAGTCCCTAGCTAATTCCTGCATGTAAATGTTGCTACGTTCCTTGTGAGCAGCTTCCAACTTTGCATGTTAAGTGGTAGATAAGGCTGTAGAGTTAGCAACTTTGGGAGATTTTCACGCAGCGGGAAATATGCAGGATCAAGACTATAAACCTCTATCCTTTTTAGATGAAGATCTAACCCAGAGATGCCACCCTGAGCCTAAAAAACAAAATTGTACTTTGTTACCTTGTGCAATCATGTACAGATATTTTTAATGTAAAGAAAAAAGTGACATTATTTATTATTATTTTTTATTAGGAATGTGTGTTTTTTTCATTAAAAGCTTCTAGACCCAGGAGCTTAACATATTTATATTATTTAGTAATGTTTCTGTTGCTATGTGACAGGTATTTACTGTAAACAGACAAACAAACAAATGCTGGCTTGAGCAAACAAAAATGTTACTCAGTAGGAAAAATTTTGTGCATGATAAGAACTTCCCTGCCATGGGGTCTGACTTCTTTGCAATATTCCTTCCACCCAGAAGAGAGTCATTGATAAGGCTTCTCATCCTTTTCCTTTGGAATTCAAAAGAAGACAGGCCAGAAACAGATCTAATTAGAGGGAGCCTGGCACTTATTCATGTAGAAAGTCCCTGGCAGTTAGAAAGAGACAAAGAACTGATGTTTGTGACCATAGGTGTTGATGGAAAGCATACAAGGTATTCTAAAAGAGTGGGTGAGATACCGAGTTTGAGGCTATTGTTGGCTCACCATTATGGATAGTTCTGTAATGACTTGTTCTTACAGGGTTGTGTTTCCAGAAAAACTCAGAATTAGTTCAATACAGACTTCAGTGGGTGAAAAAAATAGGGAAGTGTTGAGAGCTTTGGAAAAAAACCATCCAAGGCTGTATCTCTCATATGATTTACACCTCTATGGAACTGCTGACACAGATTTTGTCTGGACTTGGGTACGCAAGAGTGCAGAACAGGTTGGCTTAGTTTCATCCTAAGTATCAAATTTCTTAAAGAAAATAAATTCTAAAAAGGCTGTTCTCTGTCCCCATCAGAAGGCATCAAAATGTTGCTGAAGATTTCTGTGAGTGACGTACAACCAGCAGCATGGGGGTGCAATAGTAGTGGTGTTCCTTTGTTTCCGCTGTTGTTCCTGAAGTGTTGGTTTTTTTCCTATATTCTAATGTGCTTCAATAATATATCTCTTCTTAATTTAAAATGAATTTTTCAACATTGAATGTATTCATGAGAGATGTTCAGAAGGCTCTGCCAATGGGATCCTTAGCTCACCAGCCAAAATGGTCAACAGCTCTCATCCAAAAAGGGATCCAGTTCCAAAACCATATTTGCAAATGTTCATGTTCTGTGTCATCTCTGGCTAATGGCGGGTTGGCCCCAATTAATCTGTCATAAGCAATCTGTCAGCTACTGCTTAGTAAGTTAATAATCACAGCAACGTTTCTGTGAACCCAGCAAGTGATATTGTCCGTCATCAATAAGTTAGTATTTCTATAGAAAAGACGCTGTCTCATGGAAAGAACCAGTACTTTGTTTCCTTCCTTCTCTAACGGTAGCTGCTCCGCTCGCCTCTGAGTTCATCTCCCCGTTGACCATTCCGGCTAGTGGCTTTGGAGTCTCTGCCTGTGCTGAATAAGGTGTGATGCATTGGCTCTTTCTAAAAATAAAAATTCCTCTATGTAAATTAAACTCTAGCTCATGCTCATTTCTTGTATGGTTTTCACTCAAAACATAATATTCTACCGGGTTAGCAGGCAGTTATGTTATGCCTGCTTTGCAATACACCCAAATAGCTATAACAGCAAGGAAGAATCTGGTCACAGTGCTTTTAAAATACTGAACGATTCTTGGGTTATCACACATTTTTTTTATCTGCCAGAACAATGCTGCCTCCCACACCAAGTGTTCCAGCACCTCCCTCTTTCTCCTTACATTTCTTAGGTTGCTACTGAGCCCTCTTTCTCCTTGCCTGGGCTACGTCCACCTCACCTCTCGCTTTCATCTTGTACTGACATTTCACTGGTATCAGCAGGACTCTCAAGACAGGCATTTGTGAATGAGGAGTCAGATAAAATTCTGTGTTGCTCTGTCTGTTGCTCTGAGTATACCAGTGGACTTGACTGAAGAAGGAGGTTCCTTTCTTCCTTCTTTTTCCTCTTTTCCCATCTCTCACAGAACCACTCCATTCTATTTGCTTACATAAATACACCAGTACTCATCAGCAAGTTATTGCAGTGCCACATTTACAGTCTAGAAACATTTTACATTCTTTGCATGCAGTAAGTCTCGGAAGTGTTAAGCTTGAAGTTTACTGTAGCTGTTTTCTTGGATTATAACTGATTACACCTTTTCCTGGCCAGAGATAAAGTACTAGCAGAACAGCTAGCTAATAAGAAATTGGCTGGCTGGGCCTTTGCTAAACCATCTTCAGAAGGCTGATCTGTCAACACAGTTGTATTTCCATATTTCCATATTTTTCTAGGCTCCAGAGGAAACATTTCTGAGATTTTGCATGAAATTTGTTAGCAGAGTCTGCGCCTAGACATGCAAATCCAAAGAGTCATTGAGGTTACTTGCGCTGAAAGAGGGAAGCAGAGGAACAGGTTAACTACTTCCAGAGGCAGGTTGAAAACCTAGTTTAACGCTAAACCTGTGGGCCAATTTCTTTTAAATGGGCCTTAGACAGTGTAAGGGTGCACAACATCATGAGAAAAGCCATATTTTCTACTGAGGAGCTTTCCATGTCTCTGATATTCTGTTTTCTCAGAGAGAAACTAAGTCGGAGTCATCCTGTAAGTGAAATTCAGAGGCATAATGAACAAATCACCAATGGAAAGCTGTGTTCACAAAACAGAAGCTCCAAGGAAGAGTGCAGAAGAGGCCATGCACTTTAATTAGCTGATTATCAAGACCGTCTGGAGGGATGTGAAGCAATAACTGGATGATACACACTCTGTAAATGTCAGTGCTTGAGGCAGTCAGCAGCTGTGTTGCTTAGTGAGATGCAGGGAGATATGGCTGCAGCCCAAGTGTACAAGCAGGTCATGCTCATAAACACCATGCAAAGAGATGAATCCTTATGGGGAAACGTCCCTTCTACATTTATCCTTCACAGTTCTTTCAACATTGAATATATTTTCAGTTTTTAGTCTTGGAGAGGGCAACGAATTGGAAAAAAGGAGAAATAGTATTAGTATATTGGCAGAACAATTAGAAAAATACTTTCAAAAAATTCCTAAAATTCAGTTAGGAGCCTAGAACGTGACCTCCTTCTACTGCAGAATTTGGTGCCTGTCTAAGCATAAAAATAAATGAAAACATTCACCCAAGTGGCTTAAAAAGGAAGGCAATGGCTTCCATTTGCATTACCCTGCAGTACATTGCCTTTGTGTCTACACTCCAGTTGTGGTGTATCAGCACAGCTGAGAACGGGCTCACAGAGGAAACAGAAGGACTGACAGTGATGGAGCTGAAGGGTATTTGTAGGGATCTGTGGGAAACCCTTACTCACTTCTTGCCCACATAGTGCCAAGCTTCAACCTACATTTTCCACATGCAGCTTTTTTTGAAGACTAAAATCCCCCCAAATCTCAGTATAGGAGGGTATGCCTGAAAGGGAAATGGTGTACACGGTGCGCACGTGCAGAGGATTTGCGTGGGAAAAAAAAAAAATTCAACACACTGAAAACCCCTTTCTCACTGCACTGCTCTCTACTCAGAAGCAGAAATTCTTAGCTTATCAGACACGTGCAGACAATAGGGTGCATACAACCATTGTTTGCCTACAGAGATACTGTCATGCTAACAAGCTTCATTTATTCCTGTTATAATCATAATCAGTAAATAACGAAGACAATTCATTTGCAACCATA